TAATTGTTACCAGGACTGACTGTGAGGGTTGGAAATGTAAAGGTAGATGTTTTGTAGCAAAAGGAGGGGAGTGATTGACTTTGCAGTCCAGGAGCGGAGGTCCCTGGGACCATCAAGGGAGAAGAGTAGAGTGCGAGACCCTACCCAGAGAAACAGTGACGCTTGAGATGGGGGTGGAGATGATGACGTGGAGAGATGGAGTCATGGGGCCTCTAGACCTAGAGATGGGGAGGGGCTGTGCGCTGAGGACCAGGGGGCAGGCTTGTGGGGTGTCCTTCTGGTTGACTGATGATGAATGGATGGGATTGTAACCATGGCAATGAAATTATATACGGTAGGATGAATGTAAAACTAATATTCTCCTGTGTAAACTATCACATAATTCACAATAAAACATTTTAAAAAGAAAAAAAAAAGTCGATGTGAATGAAGCAAAGCTTTTGGAACCTTCATTTGCTGATGGGACACAACTCAAAATGAGAAGAAATGGCTGCAATCATCCATTAATCAGAATGTGGAATGCACAAAGAATTACTCTAGAAAAAATGGAAGTCATCAAAACTTAAATGGAATGCATAAATATCAATATCCTATGCATTAGTGAATGAAAATTGCTAAGTATTGGTCAACTTGAATCAGACAATCATATGGTTTACCATGTCAGGAATGACAAAGCGGAATAGCATTATATGCATTGTCAAAAACAGCATTTTGAGACCTATCTTAAAGTACAATGTTGTCTTTGATAAGATAATATTCACATGTCTACAAGGAAGACCAGTTAATACCACTATTATTCAAATTTATGACCCAACCACTAAAGCCAATGATGATGAAATGGAAGAATTCTACCAACTTCTTCAGTTTGAAATTGATCACACACGCAATCAACATACATTGATAATTACTGGTGACTAGAATTCAAAAGTTGGAAACAAAAAGGATATATTGGTTGTTGGAAAATATGGCCATGATGATAGAAACCATGCTTGAAATCACATGAAAAGAATTTTGTAAGACCAACAACATGTTCATTGTAAATACCTTTTTTTCCACAATATAAATAGTGACTATAAGTGGACCTCACCAGATGGAATACATAGAAATCAAATTGACTACATCTGCGGAAAGAGAAGATGGAAAAGCTCCATATCATTAGTCAAAACAAGACCAGGGGCAGACTGTGGAGCAGACCATCAATTACTCATATGCAAATTTAAACTGAAGCTGAAGAAAATGAAAACAAGTTCATGAAAGTCAAAATATGACCTTGAATATATCCCACCTGAATTTAGAGAGCCTCTGAAGAACAGATTTGATACATTAAACACTAAAGAGCGAAGACCAGAAAAGTTGTGGCATGACATCAAGAATATCATACATAAAACAGCAATGAAGCTGCGAGCTAAGCCCTACAGCCTTCAATAGACTCCTGTGAACCCGGGTGGAGACCTGGTTGGCCAGCAGTGTGGCAAGACCTGGGGACCCTTTGGCCAGGATCAGTGACATAGCCACAGAGAACTTGAATGGAGAGTGAAGCATCCAGCTGATAAGAAGAGAGGGCATGTCCACAAGAATACCCACACTTGCATATAATACCCACTTGACCTGGCTTCAATGACTGCATGATCAGAGCTCAACTAGAAGAAGAAAGAAGAGGAAAAAAGAGTAATCTGATATAATTTGATGAACTTGACCTACACTTATGGATGCAGTAGCTTAAAAGAGAGAACAAATCTTTATAGCAAGGATCATTCCCACCCCCTCGATACACAAAGTAGACAGGGATAGGCAACTTGGACATTGGCTACACAAAATGGGGGCGGGGGACTTCAAAGGCAAGAAGTGACTGGCTTACAATCTTTCAAGAAGGAATCTAGATCCAGAGAGCATGGAGGAAGGTAGAATCTCCACTGAGTAGTATCCAATCTGTCTAGGCAGGGCTGATAAAAGGAAATGCAGATAGGTCTCTTGTGATAAAACAGTGAATAATTGTTATCAGGACTGATTGTGAGGGTTGAAAATGTAAAGGTAGATGTTTTGTAGCAAGGAAGGGAGTGATTAACTTTGCAGTTTAGGAGCCAAGGTCCTTGGGACCATCAGGGGAGAAGAGCGGAGAGACTGGGAACCTACCCAGAGAAGCAGTGACGCCAGATATGGAGGCAGAGGTGATGATGTGGAGTGATGACAGCTGGGGACTTTAGACCCAGAGAGGGAGAGGGGCTGTGTGCTGACAACCGGGGGACAGGTTTGTAGTGTATAGCCTTTGGTTGGTTGATGATGCATGGAGGGGATTGTAATCATGGAAATGAAATGATATACGATAGGATGAATGTAAAACTAATGTTCTCCCATGTAAATTATCACATAATTCACATTAAAACATAAAAAAAAAAAGGAACATCATTCATGAAGAAAGCAGCAAGTCATTAAGAAGACAAGAAAAAAGGAAAAGGTCAAAATGGATGTCAGAAGAGACACTGAAACTTGCTCTCCAGTGTACAGATGCTAAAGCAAATGGAAGAAATGAGAAGGTACAAGAGCTGAACAGAAAATTTCAAAGATCAGCTCGAGAAGATAAAGCCAAATATTATAACAAAGTGTGCAAAAATCTGGAATCAGAAAACCAAAAAGGAAGAATACGTTCAGCATTTCTCAGGCTGGGGGAACTGAAGAAAAAATTCAAGCCTCAACTTTTGTTATTGAAAGATTCTCTGGGCAAATTATTGAATGATGCAGAAAGCATCTAGAGAAGATGGAAGGAATACAAAGAGTCACTGTACCAAAAGGAAACGGTTAATGTTCAACCGTTTCAAGAGGTAGCATATGAACAACAGCCAATGATATTGAAGGAGGAAGTCCAAGATGCATTGAAGGAATTGGCAAAGAGAAAGGCAGCAGGAATTGATGGAATAAAAACTGAATTATTTCAAGAAAGTGAGGCGGCACAGGAGGCACTCATTTATCTCTGCCAAGAAATTTGAAAGACAACTATCTGGTTGACTGATTGGAAGAGATCTGTATTTGTGCCCATTCCAAAGAGAGGTGATCCAACGGAATGCAGAAATCATCAGACAATCTCTCTCTGATATCCCATGCAAGTAATGTTTTACTCATGGTAATATGGCTGCGAGCATACAATGACAGAGAACTTCCAGAGGTTCAAGCTGGATTCAGAATGAGGGATATCTTTGCTGATGTCCGATGGATCTTGGCTGAAAGCAAAGAATATCAGAAAGATGTTTACCTGTGCTTTATTGACTATGCAAAGGCTTAAGATTGTGTGGATCATGAAAAGCTATGGACAACACTGAGAAGTATGAATATTTCAGAACACTTAACTGTGCTCATGAGGAATCTGTACATGGACCAAGAGGCAGTTGTTAGAACAGAACATGGGAACACTGAATGGTTTAAAATTAAAAAAGGTGTGTGACAAGGTTGTATTCTTTCTCCATACTTATTCAACCTGAATGCTGAGCAAATAATCTGAGAAGCTGGGTTCTATAAAGAAAAATGTGGCATCAGGATTGGAGGAAGACTCATTAACAACCTGAGATATGTGATGATACAACCTTATTTGCTGAGAGTGAAGAGGACTTAAAACATTTACTGATGAAGATCAAAGAGCACACAGCCTTCGGTATGGATTGCATCTCAATGTAAAGATAACAAAAATCCTCACCACTGGACCAGTGAACAACATTCTTATCAACGAAGAAAAGATTGAAGTTGTCAAGGACTTCTTTCTTCTTGGATCAACTATCAACACTCTCGGAAGCAGCAGTCAAGAGATCAAATGACGTATTGCATTAGGCAAATCTGCTGCACAAGACCTTTTTAAAGATGTCAGCTTGAGGACTAAGGTGCGCCTGACTCAAGCCATAGTATTTTCAACTACCTCATATGCATGCGAAAGCTGACAGTGAATAAGGAAGACTGTAGAAAAGTTTGAGTTATGGTGTTGGAGGAGAATATTGAAAGTGCCATGGGCTGCCAAATGAACCAATTCATCCATTTTGGAAGACGTGCAGCCAGAAAGCTACTTGGAGGCCAAGATGGCCAACCTTCATCTCTCATACTTTGGACATATTGTCAGGAGGGACTAGTTGTTGGAGAAGGGGTCAGAGAAAAACAGGAAGACCCCCAACAAGATGTTTGGCCAAGTGGCAGCAATGATGGATTTAAGTGTGGCAATAGTAGTGAGGTTGGCCCAGGACTGGGCAGTGGTTTGTTCTGCTGTGCATAAGGTCGCTATCAGTAGGTACCAACTTGAAGGCACCTAACAACAACAACAACAACAACAATTCTTCAGTGCAGCTTGGAGTTCTTCCTTCAATACCTTTGGGTTTGATCATATGCTACCTTCAGAAATGGCTGAATGTTGAACCAGTCCAAATATATATTTTCAGAGTCATCTTGGAACCTCCGAAGTCTTTATAGAGTGAATAGCAAAGGTGGTAATTCCCAATGGAGCCAATTGCTGTAAAAATAACTTGGACATTCCTCTGGCTTAATTCATATGAGTGGAAATTAGGTGCCTGTTGGCACACACTGCTTCAGTATAGTTCCAGACCACAGCCTGGGTTATCTGTATGTTGCAAGAAAGGGATAGAAATCTGGCTCTGGATGTTCAGCAAATCAGAGGCGGCCTTTGCCCTACCCTGTGTGGAGGTGGTGGTGGAGGTGGAGGTGGGGGTTAGAGTATAAATATGGCTGTGAATTGTGACAGTTCTCAAGCTACCAAGAAAGATGTACTGTAGCCATTCCTGGCCTCACAATGTGTGTGTTAAAGGAAAGCAGTAACATCATGCTAAGGAGAGGAATGATGTATTTCTGCCCTGTGCTCTTCAACATCAACCCTGAGAAACCAAGAGTGTCAGAGATGCCTTATCTGAGAAAAAATGAGAACTGCCCTCCCCTGCCGCCCACTTCCTACATTCTTTTCCATGGATGGAGAAAAAAATGTCTACATTGCAAGTTAGTTCCCTCTGACTTACTTGTGGGACCAGCTGACCTTCAGGTCGTCCAAGTAGTAAGTCACGAAGGAGTACAGCCGGATTCCCTCAGCAGTGCTCTGGATTTTCAGGTCTGTAGCAGACAACGCTGAGAAAGGACAACAGACATTTATGCACCTCTGAGTCTCTCCCAGCAAGAGACTAAAGAAGCAGTGCGATGGTGGGTACACTTTCACTTACCAATGTTTTTACATACTTCACTCATCAGCTCTTTAAAGGCTGTGGATAGAGGTTCATAGACAAAGATTTAGTACAAAATGTTCAACATAAGGTAAAATCTCAAATAGTTAATAGCACATTCTTAAAAGTTCCTTGTCTGGTGAAGAGTAATGATCACAAGGTAAATTTTTTGACCGATTGATAATAAGTGCTATTTGAAAGAATAACTCATTTTTTTAATCAAAAATTTAGAAGACCCTGCTTATTTTGATATTTTTTTCACCTCTGATTCTTTGTCATTGTCACTGTTTTGGCATTCTAGGCAAAGGACAACAAATGAGATTTCCAGGAAAGTTCTTGGCTTTAGGTTTCTGTTTCTTCCTAAATCCCAAGAAGTCTTGGGTCATACAGAGGAAGGTTTCTTGTTTGTGCCATCAATTCAAAATGAATTATCAGTCAAGTTCCTTGGTCTCCCTCAGTCTAATAATGTGTTTCCAGTAAGCACATTTAATCATGCCTCCAACCAAGAGAAGACAATATCAAAGTCAAACTGCTTCTATTTGTCACAATATTTTTAAAAATGTTTTGTCCAGGAATAAAATTGGACGTTTCACCAAGTGTAGGCTTTCATTATCATATAATGGTCTTCAGTAGGTCTCTGAAAAAATAAAAATGACTTTCTAGTTCTGCTAAAAACGATTAGGCTTCGAACTTCACATCTAAATATTTTTTTACCACTTTGTAATAGTGAACTATTTTGCTACATGCCTCTCCCAGACATTTTTAATCCTTGAACATTTTTATCTAGTTGAAACAAAACTGATGACTTAAACTAAAAGCAGATCTATTGGACTGTGGCCTATAAATTCTCTGAGGATAAAAAGTACACTTTTGATTTCTAAGAAGACTGAGAAATAATGTGAAGTATTTTTGAACAAAGCAACAGTTCACTCTGCTGGAATTTCAATTAACACAAAGTCTACAGGCCAGATATCACCATGACACCGGCTGGCAGCCCACCATCAATCCAACTTCCCTAACCTGCAGGCAGAACACACAAAATGGACCTCATCAGTTGGTGGACTGACCTTCATCCACAAGCTTCAATCTGCTCTTATCTTTCCCTCGGTCATCTTTCAGGATCACTTCATAAATCCCAGCATCTTTCTTCGAAAACTAAGTGGGGAATAGATACACCACATTGCAACTTATCATGGCCTCAGGGTATAATGTTTGCATGCTTCTGGTCCTGTGATTTATGGAGCTGCCATCGAAACACATTCTGAATAAGCATCTAGCCATGCAAGTGCTGCTGGCATGGGCGCAACATGGACTGGCTAGCACTGGTGGGGTGTTGCTGTTTTTAATCTTCTGAGGACATAATTGATAGGAAGCTCAAAGTCTGTGCCTATATTTATTGAAAACAAATGTTCACATATATATTTGAAAGCTGTGCTCTTTAGACAGAAAGTGGACAAAAATCTGTACCTAAATGAATACTATGTCTAATGGTCTTGAGGGAACAAGGTATCATGAAACTGAAGTGTAAACAAAAAAAGATCCACTTAACTATCTTGCTCCTCACCCATATACAAGAAAGGCAAGAACTGTGGTGTCCAGTCAGTCTGGGTTGAGTAGCTGACAAATTCTTGCATTTTACAAGGTGAGAGCTTTTAAGTTTCTACAGTTTTTTTGGTGGTGGGGAGAGAGTGATGTTAGGGTCAGGGATCTAAGAAACAGGGAGAAGTGAGGCATTATGCAGAATCTAGTTTATGCTTTTATGAGACAATAGAGGATAAAGAACTAATCTGTCATATTTCACATTGATGTCACCTACCTCTGTTATAAGCAGGGTACATATACCATCCTTAAAATCATGCTTTTCATCCTCTGATATTTCTTTCTCATCTTTGTACCACACAATAAGAGTTTCCTTCTTAATATTTGCCACCTAGAAGAAAAACATAATTACCATTCTTGAGATAAGGAAAATATTATTATAGAACAGAGTGGTTCTCAGTGCAGCAAGCTACAGAGGGAGCACTGAACTTGGAGTAAAAGATTAGATTTCTCAAGGAATCAGTAGAAAGCTATTTTAACAGAGAAAATGATTTGGAATAAGGTGGATATGAATAATAAAAATAAATCAATAGCATCTCTATTTCCAGCAGTAGATAAGAAAAGCAAGAACAGATAAATGTTTACATGCAGGCATGGTGCTGTGGGGTAAGGCCCTAGACCGCAAAGTTAGTTTGGATTGTAAGGTTGCTCGTTCCAACTCACCAGCTGCTCCTTGGAAACCCAATACTGGGTTGCTATGAGTCAGAACCGACTCCATGGCACTTAACAACAATAACACTAACATACATACTCGGTTTCCCAGTGTGACACTGTAGGACAAGCAATGACTGTTAACTACAAGATTGGTGGTTCAAATGCACCAACTTCTCCTTGGAAGTCCTTTACAGGGCCATTATGAGCTGGAACTGACTCAACAGCACTTAACAACAACTTATACACTCAGATAAAAATAAAAATCTCAAAAAAAGGAAAACAAACTCTGTCAGATTAAAATATAGTCTATGTAATATAAAACAACTGTCTTTATCAAAAGAACAGAATAAGTAAGCCCCAATCTATATCTGGTAGCGTAGTGGTTACAAATCAAACTGCGAACCTTAAGGTCAGCAGTTCGAAACTACCAGCCGCTCCGCGGGAGAAAGATGAGGCTTTCTGCTCCCATAAAGATTTACAGCCTTGGAAACCCTGTACAGGGTTGCTATGGGTCAGAATCGACTCGAGGACACTTAACAACAACAATCTATATCTGTGTGGGGAAAAGTACAGCCAGAATGCTCCCTGGAAGCCATGGTGACCAGACTTCGTACTTTGGACATATTGTCAAGAGGGACCAGTCCCTGGAGAAGGATATTGTGCTTGGTAAAGTGGAGAGTCGGAGAAAAGAGGAAGACTCCCAACTGAATGGACTGGCACAGTGGCAGCAGAGATAGGTTCAAAAGTAGCAACAATTGTGAGTTTGGCGCAGGACTGGGAAGTATTTCGTTCTGTTGTGCACAGGGTTGCTATGAGATGGCACCTAACAACAACAACAACACAACAATCTATATCTGGAGTCCTGATGTAGCGCTGTAGGATAAACACTTGAATTCAAAGTTAGTTTGAAGCACAAGGTCAGCAGTTCAAATTCACCAGCTGCTCCTTGGAAACCCTATACAGGGTCATAGTGAATCAAAGCCAACTCAATGATACTTAGCAATAACAACAACAGCAACAACAGTCTATATCTATAAAGTTAATAAAACCTAAAGAAAGCATTACAAATGAGTGTAAAGAGCATATATTGTTAATACATTTATTCTTGGCAATTTTGAGGAAAACCATAGAGATCCTATATCTTATATTATGTTGTTAAGTCAGTTCTGACTCAGCAACCCTGTATAGGGCTTCCGAGGAGCAGCTGGTGAGCCTGAACTGCCAACCTTGTGGGTCAAACCAACCATGTAGTCCAGTGCATTAACCCATATATAGCGCCACACCAGGACTCCCTATACATTATAACATAGCATAAATTTTGAATGGGCTAAGGGACTTCACATGGTTGAGGGGTCTTGAGCTTTATCTGAAATGCTTGATTTTCTTTTTTTTTTTAACAACGAGTAAATTCATGTATTCCTTGTGTAGTTACAATTAAATGAAAAAGTAAAGGTCTTATATAAATCATTTTAAATGCAACCAATACCAAAGACCACACTGAATAATTGGGCAAAAAAACAAAAAAAGAGAAAGTATAAAACAGGAAGAAATGTTTAATCTCATTATAAGCAAGGATGGTGGTGGTGGTGTGCTGTGGAGTTGGTTCCAACTCATAGCGACCCTGTACAGGGTTTCTGAGGCTGTAAATCTTTATGGGAGCAGAAAGCGTCATCTTTCTCCCACAGAACAACTGGTAGTTTTGAACTGCTGACCCTGAGGTTAGCAGCCTGATTGGTAACCACTATGTAGTGGTTACGAATCGGGCTGTGAACCTTTAGGTCAGCAGTTCGAAACTACCAGCCGCTCTGCGGGAGAAAGATGAGGCTTTCTACTCCCGTAAAGATTTACACCCTCGGAAGCCCTGTACAGGGTCGCTATGGGTCGGAACCGACTCGACGGCACTTAACAACAACAACAACAATGCTACCAGAGCTCCTTATAAGCAAGGATAGATAAGTTTATAATGTTAATATTTTTCAATTTGTAAATTAACACAAGAAGCTCTACAGTGGTAGTTACATATAAGAAACTGTGCTTTGAAGCCATACAAACAAATGTTGTTGTTTTCTTTAAGTGCCGTGGAGTCAATTCTGACCTATAGCGACCATGTATAGGGTTTCTGAGGAGAGGCTGGTTAGCATGAACCGCCAACCTTGAGGTTCAAACGATTTTGCAGTCCAGTGCATTAACACAAAGCGCCACAGCAGGGCTCCATGCAAACATAATCCTGTAAATTGACTCCTGAATTGTAGACAGTAACTGTTGCTAGAAACATTGTGCATAATAAAAATGACCCCAGTTGGAAAGCTTGCATCTGGACTGGGCAGGACTGGACTGGATACCCCACAGCATGGGGCCTGCCTGAGCTCTCAGACTTGCTGAGCTGGGTGTTCCCCTTTCTAGGATTCTGAAAGCTCCCACTAATGAGTTGTTACAAAAAATGATGGATCCTTGGGGCATGAGATTTTTAAAGCTGTGTTGCTTTCTGTCCCAGCCCAGTGGGGATCTTGTTTCTTTGCACAGGAGTTGTTATCTGGGCTGCCAGTGAGGAGAATAACTCTTTGAAGTGGGCTCCTTCAGTGACCCCTGCAAAGACTCCTAGTGGAGGAATCCTTGCAGGGGACTCTTGTCTTAGACCCCTTCGAGATGCCTTCGAAATGAGTGCCAAGTAGGGCCATGTCAGTCTTGGATTCTGAATGTTTAACGACACACATTCAAATATAACAAAATGTGTAAATTGTTATAATAATGAAAAGAGTGCTGGGGGAACAAAGGAAGGTTCATTCCACTTGGATTGATTAGGGGAAGGCTTTAAGGAAGAGATGACATTACAGGTATTGAGAATGCATGAATAAATAATGTTGGAATACTCATAACCTATTTGTAGGCTCCCCTCATTTGTTCCGAATCTCCTGAAGACAATCACCAGAACAGGACATCAGAGGGCATTTCCCAGAGGGCTACTGCACCAGATAGGGCAGATGGATGGGGTTCTGGGAGGGGAAGCGTTGATGCGTGGGACAATGGAGGAGAAAGTGAACAGGGAACAGCATGGCAGTGATCAGCAGGGTGAGAGAGAGAGGGGCTCTTTAACTGCTGCCTAAGAAAGATATTCTCAAGAGCTGTTACCAGGCTGTGACAAAGACTGAACAGGTGCTTAATATTGTATTGGACATTACAAATGTACTCCCATTTTCTATGGTTTCCTGAGAGCTCAAACCTAGAATTGATTTCTCATCTGTATTTCTGGTAGAGTGATGTCTCTTTGAACAGAGACTGGCAGGGTTCCCAGTAGCAGAATTCTTGCCTTTCATGTAAGAGACTCAGATTCAATTCCTATCCCATACACCTCATGGTACTACCCATCTGTCAGTGAAGGCTTGAGGACTGACATGATGCTGAATGGATTTCAGTAGAGTGTGTAGAGTAGGCTAGGCTAGGAAGAAAGCACTGATGAGCTTCCCCAAAGCAGCCAGTAACAATTGTAGATAACAGTGTCTAATCCACAGCTGCTCATGGAGACCGTGCAGTCTAGGCAGCCTGTCATTCCATTGTGCACAAGTTGGGAACAGTCAGCAAGAAATAGAAACTGGAGCGCTTGGGCTCTGGCTTTTGCATGACAACTGCAGCCGCACACTAAACCCAGACTTCTGCTATTGAGTTGCTATTGGTCATTATGACCTCATAATCCAATCTCGCCCCAAAGTACCTCCATCTAACTTTAAAAATATTTCATTTTCTTTGTCTAGTTCCTGGCCTCACATTGAATAGATAAATACATTACTTTTTCATTTTCCCCTTTCACCCAAATTGACATGTGTCCATCCTCCAGCCTACCCTTCCCTCTCTTCCCCTCCGACCCCTGGTAACCATCAAAAATATCTTCTTCATTGTGAAAACCATTTTTCACCATCTAAAGAAACCCGTATTTTTTTTATGATGACACTACTGTGATGGTACAAATTGGTTTAAAATGCTAAAAAAAATTTTCCTAAAATTTCTAGAGACTTGGTAAGACCATCGGTTGTGAGCTGCATATTTTTCACTAAACTTCTCTATCAGAACCAGAAGCAGAACTGAGGAATACTCAAAGGTACTGATTAGATAGTAAATTAGAAACTAAATTTCTGTAGAAGAAAATTATAGTTAGAATGATTCTGGCATAGACCTACCACTGAGAATACGGACTTGGCTTGAAACAAAGAAACTGTGAGATTCTTCTGAGATTAATAATTAATAATAGACTGTGTCCTTATAACTAGGACATGGGCAACACACGGGAGTGATCATTTTGCCTTCCCATGTTTTATTTTTAAATGTTTCTTGTCATCCAATGTAGCATTCAACAAGAAGGATAATGTTGCTTATCATAGTGGTGTAAATGGAAGAGATGAAATATCGATTATCTTTTCTTCACATTCTGTTTTACTTTTATTTCACTTTAATCAAACATTTGTTGTTGTTAGGTACCATCAAGTAGGTACTGACCCATAGTGATCTTATGCACA